CCAATTGGGAAGGCCCCTATATGGTTGTTCAAGTTAAGCGACCTGGCTCTTACGTGTTAGCAGATATACACGGGCGTCAGTTACCTTACCTTTGGAATGTACAGAATCTTAGAAAGTTTTACAGTTAACGTGTGTAATGTTATTTCGCTCAAGGTGTTATTTAACAATTGTAAATAGAGATATACATAAAATGCAAGGAAGATTAAAAACAAAATTCATTTTTGTATTCCATCAACGATATTACATTAAAAGCACAGGCGATCTGAATCCGTCGATCAAATACAAAAAGGCCAAAACAAAAATACAAAAAATAAAATAGAAATTCCTAGGCCTAGTCATCCGTCAGATCGACGGGCATGGATGCGTTCGCCGCAGCTGCAGGTGAACGAGCAGGAGGAGATCGGGCGGCGAGCTCAGACGCTGGCACGCTGACGGGCGAGCTGGCTGGCACCACGGCTGGCTGAGAGTTGGGCGGGGTGCTTGAAGGCTCCTGCTCAGCTACAGGAGCACCTTCCACCCATGCATCGAACGAGGGCAGTCCTGCTGGATCCTCACCGTCCTCCAGCACGGACGGCGGCCAGACGGGCACGCCCTCCTCGTTCAAGTCCCACCTCAGCTTCACAGTAGTGTCAGCAAGGGGAGCCAGGCTCTTACCCTGTTCGTCCAGCTCCTCCTCGTCAAAAAACACCAGCTCGCGGATCGAAAAATCTGGGCGGTGCTGCAGTACTTTCCCACGGATCTCATTGTAGATCTCCGTGGTTACATTTGCCGACGCCACCGCCACAGCGTCCTGAAACACAGCGAGCCGACGAACCATTCCGCCCCTTGAGCCCGGGCGATGGCGACAGAACGGGCATGGGAAGCCTTCAGCTCGTTCAGAGCCTCCCCGGCAGCAGCAAGGTTTCAGTCCGCCTGGGCGACCTGGTGCCTAAAGGAGCTCAGCTCGTGCTGAGCATGATCCCTGTCGGCCTCAGCCTTCTTTGCCCGCTCTTCAACCCGACCGGCCTCATCCTTGGCTGCTTGAATTCCACTCTCTCGCTCGGCCTGGGCGCGCTCTAGCTCCTCCTTGAGCTCATCGATCTTGTGGGCGAGCTCGTCCGCCCGGCTCTCAGCAGCCGCGGCTCGGTTCGCCATCTCAGAGCCTTGCAGACGATTCACATCGTCCACAAGGCTAGCCTTCTCCATGGCCAGCTGCTTGCACTTCGAACCGAGCTCGGTATTCTCTGTACGAGCAGCTTGCTCGCTCTCGTACAGTGCTACCGCGTAGCTGAACGCCTGCCAAACAGTTATCACTGTTAGTCTCTAAAAAGAAAAAGCAAAACTGTCTAAGCAGATACGAGCAGATACTTACATCCATCAATTTTATCATGGCGACCTGCCCGCCATGCTGCTGCACAAAAGCCTTCGCCCGCTTATTGTCCATGGGTGGCACGAAGCTGTGCATGGCCTGCACCATGGCGGGTTGGCACTCCGCCCTTATATAGCTGAAGCCCTCAGGATAAGCAATCCTAGGGCCAGATGTTGAGGTCGGAGCAAAGGCGGGCTCCACTGCTGCCCGCACAGTCCCTGACGGTGCGCTTGGAGAACGCACAGTTACAGGACGGGCCGCCTGTGCAGGCTGAGTCCCCCCGCTTGTTCTGCGTCGTATTAGGGGGACCTCATCTTCACTCTCCGTCTCCTCGCGTGCGCGCCTACGCTCGCTCGGAGCTGAAGCCTCAGCTCGATGCTCTGCTCGGGGCCTTGTCGACGAGCTGGATCCCCTGTGTGACGAGCCACGTGACTGAGGCGCTGGGGGTGGCCGCTCGTCAAATCGCGTCTGCTTGGGTTGCCCGCTGCTACCCCCGCGACCTCGTGAGGCTTGGGCACGTTGTCGTTGGCGCTCTAGGATGCTGCTCATTTCTCCTGCACAAAAAAATGCATAAGCCTCAGCTCGACTAGAATCTAAGTTACATGATAAAAATATACCTTCGCTGAACAGGTTTGTCACATCGACAAACCCGAACAGGGCGAGCTGCTCCGAGGTAACCAGGGCTTCCAAATCTATGAGACCCTCCCCCTACGCATACTGAAGCAGCTGGTTCTTCAGATCGACATCCCGGGGCAGCAGCTGGGGGTAGTTGATGTGGGCGTTTGGTGTGCGCCACTCAGACAGCCTGGCAGCGAGGTCGTTGCTTATCCTTTCTGCTCGCGTGTCGCGAACAAAAATAAACTGCTTCTTCCACCTCGCCACCTTATTCCTCACATTTTTGAAGAGCTGGCTCTTGTCCCTCCCAGAGAGGTAATACCACCTCGCTCCTTGTGAGTTCGGACACAGCCGGCACTGGAATAGCGATCTAAACACTATCGCTTTGGCTGGTACCTCTAGTCGCGCACACAACAGCATAAAGCCAATAATGAACCTTATGCTGTTGGGCGTTAGTTGCGTCAACGCCAGCTCGTATTTTGCGAGCAGATCGAATATCAAGCCGGGCAGAGGAAACCGCAGTCCGGCATCGAAGTGGTCCGCATACACTGGTATCCAGCCCGTCGGTGACACTGTGCAGGCCCTTTCGTTCTGCCCGCCCGTCCGCAGCAGTATGGTCTGGGGGATGTGGTACGCCCTCACCATCTCCTCCAGCCTTTTATACCC